GGGGGAGCCGCGGGGGGGGGGGCTCGGCTCGGCCCTGCCGGCGGCCGGCTGTTGCGCGGCCTCCTGCCGGGGCCAGAGCCCCTTCCCGGGCAGGTTGTCTGCTACAGCCTGGCCGGTGGGAAGTTTCCCTTTCCCTTCGGAACTTTTCCCCCGAAGGTGGGCGTGGATTGTCTTTCAGGCATGATTCTTAATGCTGTAAAATCATAACATGCCAGAAAGTGGATTAAGGACGTCCTGATCACAGGTCTTTTAAACTTGCCTTTACTTCTTCCTTTGTCAGGTGGCTTTAAAAAGGATCGGTTACAGCCCGCTCAGCCTAGCCTAAGGTATTTTTGTTTCTAGTTTCGGACTGATGTTCCACTGAAGAAAAAATTAACATATGTTGTATTTGTGCTACTTACAGTTCATGCCTTGTGATAACTTCCTACTGGAAGGGCCTGTTCTGTTTTAGGCATTAGTCCAGCCATAATCTGAAATGATGCTTGAATCTGAAAAAGCTAATAGTTTTTTTAAGTACATTTCTTATTCCTCTAGCAATGGGGGAATAGAGAAGTTGAAAACTTATTGCTGCTGTCAGTTTACAGCATTAGTTCCAACTGTCAGAAATCTCCCAACTCTGCAAGCGTCTCAGGAATGAATCAGTACAGTTACATATAAAAAAATTTCTTTTTCTTCAAAAAAACATTGGAATTGCAAAGGCAAGCACTCGTCAGCTGGAAAGCAACACCTGAATTAGGAGCCTTGCAATGGAGGTGATGCTGTCCTATCTAAGTTTGCAGCATTTCTGTAGGCTCATTTTCAAAGGTTGTCAGCCAGGCTACTTAATAAAATCCTCTTTCCTGGGACAGGTTTTGCATGAATTGTGGCAACATACAGAGGAACTACATGCAAGGGAAGGGATGTTGTGACATAATTTATTTGCTTTTTTAGGCTATTTCAATGAGAAGAATAATCCAATTACTAATTATGATGGAGATGGCTAAATAATATTTAGCGCTGTCTTGGGAACTGAACTGTTATTACTGAGCTATTTTCCATCTTTCTTAACAGTCTTCCTTATCGAGTATGAATTGATTACTAGAGGGCAGGAGATTTTACAGTCCCTTATCTCCTGTTTAGGCAAGAGCACTGGATGTTATTGGACTGGAAAAAGATAATTATTATTCTTCTTTTAAACAGGCGTGAGGTGAACGGTCATGATGAGGATGGAAATGAGCTACAGACGACACCAGAGTTCAGAGCACATGTTGCAAAGAAACTGGGAGCAATGCTAGATGGGTATTGGCAAGCAATACTAAAATAGTTTGTTCTATAGGTCAAGTACACTGATGCTTTTGTGTGCTAAACCCAGGAAATTCAAGATCTGAGTGCAACCTGGATATGGAGAAGTTGTTTCTCTTCTTGTCTTCTTCATTCCTGTATTTAATGCAAACTTCCAATATCCTGTGAACTAACATGGCCCATGTGCTGTGCCCCTCTGGTAAAGACTCCCTGTGCAGCACTGCCTGTCTCCATTTTCCTCTGTGGTGAATGGAAGGAAAAAGTGGGGAGAAAAAAGTAGAATTTGGGTGCCTTAGCACCTTCATAATTTAAAGGCTTGCACGAGAATCTTTCATTTATTCTTACAACCTAAACCAATACCTGATTCAGGCTTGTGTTGGTAGTATGCCTCTGACTGGGTTGCCACTGTCTTTATTGTGTAAATATGGCCCTGGAGAACTAGAATTCCTGATGTTTAGAGCTGGCTTTAGAAACACTGCTTTTAAGTCATTCTGGTGGCATGCATTGCGAATGAGAGAAGGCATGGTCTGCTCTGAAAGCAGAGAAGTGAGACAGCTTCACTGAGAAAAAACGTAGCTATGTAACATCTCCCTATAGTCTTGTTTTCTAGAAATACCCAACTTTACCTCATTTTGCACAAACCTGTCTAAGATCTGACTGGGGTTTTCTGTTTAGTTTCATCACTGTCTTGAAGGACTCATCAGGACCTTCACAAACTTCTGTGCAACAGTCTGACTCTGCAGATGATGGTGAGTTCTAGTCACAGCCATTGTGGCTGTGTTGTGACATTGTTAGTTAAATGATGACAAGTGGGGTGGATGCTGTCCATTGCCAGTTGTACACCCAACTGAGTAATAAGCATTTGCAACAGAAGAATTTCTGTTGGCATCCGTGAAGGCTGTTCCCTTTGAAGCTGTGATCTCTGTGCCCCAAGTCCTCCCAGATAGTCCCAAATAATTGCTGTCGAGCACTATAGCAATACAATAACAGCAGTGAGGCTTCCCAGGGAGATTGCTGTTGATTGCTTTCACCTCTGTTTTATATGGTGGTTAAAATTCCCCTTTACATATTTTAGGTTTTCGCCTCTTCTCTTCCTCTGTCCCCGGAGACTGTGGGAAATTGGAGCCTTGCCCTGCAGTAAGGAGGAGACAGCCATCTAGCTCCAGGTGAGGTGGTGTCAGCTGCTTTGCTCCTGAAGTGCTATTGCATCCCACATTTCAGAGGCAGCTGGGACTCTCGCAAGGGAATAGGAAGCTGAAGAGCTTGAGAAGTGTGTATTTGTGACTCCTGTATTTGACTAGAGCAGATTTTTTGTTTGTTTCTTTTTAGTGCGGGGGAACTATAAATGTTTGTGGGAGATGTTCTTTCCCTTCCTAGTGTGTGTAAAGAACACTTCGGCCTTCAAAATAGTTAAATGCTAACTGTAGGTATTGGTGTCTCAAAGCCACTGGGTGTATATCAGTTGTTATCATCTTGGATTACTCTGCTGTCTGTGCTTTGGGTGAATTCAAGGCCAAAGCGTAACAGAGCTTCCTTTCCTTTTGTTACCCTTCCAGTGACGTGGACAGTGACCAAGAGTGGCAAAGGTACCAGGAGGCTGCAGTGTCAGCCACAGACATTCTGAAGCAAAGTGCTTTTCCTGCACCGTCCCAGGATCCCAGCCAGGATCAGAGTCAGGGTTATGTAGAGCACAGCCAGAAAAAAAAGAAGAAAAAGAAAATTAGGGGAGAGAACAATATTAAAGAGAAAATAATAGACCCAGCAGAGTGTGACCAGATCTGCAAAGATTTGCCACGGTTGGTGTCTGCAAATGGACAGCATGAGAGACAGGACAGCAGTCATACAGAGAACTCACTGTTGCCAGGAGTTGTGAAGAAGAAAAAGAAGAAGAAAAAAAGAGAATGAAGATTTTGCTCTGCAAACGGCAGGTGACTATGATGGATGAAGCATGCTAAAAAAAACCCCAAACAAAACCAAAACTAACAAGAGTTGCTGCAGATGAGGGAAAATTAATTGGCAAAGGTTCCGTTCTAAAAGCTCAGTGGCCTGAGAGTCTAATTAAGTGACTTCCTATGTTGTTGGCGTCTCTTGGGGAAGGGAACATTGTTCTCCTAGCAGAGCGGTTATCTATGCTGCTGCTTATGCAGACCTAGCGTAAAAGGATTAAATACTGTGCACGGACTTGCGTCACAGAGGGATATAATCATAGCTGCATCGCTCCTGGTCTGTTTCTTCACATCACGAAACCAAATCTTGTGTCCTGGAGAAAGTATATGATGAATTGAATTTGGTTTACATGGCAACAGGTGATCAACTCCTTTTTCTCTTTGCCTCCTCCTAGATCCCTACTAAGAATAGCTTCAGCCTGTGGGAGACTCATTTATCAAAAGCATACTGTCAGATATCAGGGCCCCCTTATTTTTTTCCTGTGATCACTGTAACAATCTGTTGTTGAAACCTGCCATGTTACTAATCCCTCTGTAATCTGCACCTTTCCAGGGCCCCTGCACACAGAGTGTGGAGAGCTTATTTCAGGGTTGTTATAAATAGGTAGTTCTGTTCAAGTTGTGTCTGTTGAAATTTCTTCCCATGTATAGTTTTTTCATTCCATTTGTTGTTATTAAATTCTGCTACACTATTAGACTTACTTAATTTGGCAGGTTTTGTACAACAGTGCCTTTCTTGCTGTATTCAGACAGCTCCCCCAGCAGAGATAAAGATGGCTCTTTAGTTGCTTGGTGATCAACGCTATGAAATTGCTACAGGAAGGACTTAAGCCTAATGTAAAAGTCACTGTGTTTCAGTCCTTATTTTGGTTGCTTATGACTTTTGTCTCCCTGAAATACAGTGGTATTGGTAGCTTTCAGTATGGCTCTTAGTCTATTTATACTTCAATTCCAGTATTTCAGGAAATGACCTGTTATTGGATAAATACTCTTCTTCAGTTTTTAAGATTGTTGGGTTTCAGTAGCTCTAACTTATTGGCCCTATTCAGACCAGAAAGCCAGATTAGAGAAACTGAAATCGTGAACTGTTGCTCTTTGAGCGTAGGAAAACCGGAGATGTTTTCTTTCCTACTGTAAGATCCTTGCTGGTTTTTAATCAAGAAAACACAGTTGGCATCCAAAAATGGAAAAGCTAAGTAGAAAATTGGCTTGTAATCTAACTCAATATGCCAGCAGAAGTTACTTGTCTTATGGGCAGTTAAAACTTGAGTATACTGAAGCTAGCACCTGGGGTTTCAAATGCATAGTGGTCTAAACATTACCTTTTGACTCGTTTTATGATTATTTTTTTTTATGCTAACTGGAAGTTATGTGTATTTGCAACTGATGAACATAGGAGATTAGGAAATAATTATAGGATGGAATTCCTCAGAGAATCTATTTACTGAAATTAGTCTCTTATGGTTGATGGTATCTAGAGGAAGCTCTTATCAATAAAAACTGTAATGGACATCTGCAATTTTGAAATTTCCAGATGTGATAACTGAAAGAGTTTACTGTTTGGCTTTTTTTTTTTTTTTTTTTTTTTAAATTCTCCCTTGTATCTTAACCTTTTAAGAGTCTTGAGCACATTCTAGTCTCAAGGATTTTCATCCATTTCACAGTTGAAAGAATAGCTCTGTTTTGGTCACAAAGACAAAAACATGTTAATTTGGGCTTTTTTTAATGTCTGGCTAGTCACATCTTAGTGATGTGAACATTGAGAGTAAATAGAGAAGAGAGGAATAATTAGAAGAGGAACTATATAAGTAGATCCTTAGGGCTAAAAACCTTCACTTAGTGCAAGTAAGACTCTTAGACCCCAGGGTAATTATTTGCATATCAAGAACTACAGAATCTAGCCTACAGGGAAGCTAAGAATGAACTGTGTTCTGTACAATGAATCCAAGCTGACATCTTTATAGAGAACAACTGAAAGAACCGCTGCTCTTTGTGGAGCATGGGAACCCCCTAGGTGTTCAGGGACCACGGGGGAATGTCATCCCCTGGCTCATTCAGCAAGACGCACGAGATGAGAATCCACGTGGTTAATGCAGAGAACTGGAATCTCCTTGCTGCTGTTAAACTTTAATTTCTGCATTTAAAACAAAGCAGAGCTATATCAAAAATAACCAAGCCATTTCCACTAGGATAGCATGATTTTAGAGCAGGTCATTTTTAACTGAGAATGTTTGGTATTTTTGTAGTTAATTAAGGATTTGTAGCTTGTAGCCAGTGATCCCATACTGACAGGCTTGGGCCAAGCCATTCCTGAATCTGTTTCTTGGTGATTTTTTCATTAAAGTCAGAAACCAGGTTCTCTCATGCTTGCCTCCAAGATACTATTATTTCTCATATTTCCCATTGGTGCTTCCTTACAGCAAAGGAGGTGAGTGTTTTAAAGATGGTGTCCCTTCTTTGGCAGCTCAGCTTTGCTCTTTCCTGCATGGCTTAATCCAGTGTTGGCAGGTTTGTACAGGCCCAGCTCGATGAAGGCTGAGCAGAATGAAAGTCCCATCCACGCCCTGGCATTTTTGCCATATTGCATTCAGTTCCCTATCTTGATGGGATTCCTTCTTGGGCAGCCACAAAAGGATGTCTGGTCGTTCTAGGCTGGCTTGTGGGGTTTGGGTTTACTTGTTTTTGGGGGGGGCAGTGAATTTTAGCAGTGCTAGCATCCTCTTTCCGTGGCTTCTGTCTTGAGCGTGAGACAGCTTCTCTCATGGAGGCAGCTGAGTAAGGGATTTGTATGAGGCAGTAGGGGCTGGAGGTCAGCTGAGCGCAGCAGCCTTTCCTTCCCGTGGAAGGCAGTGGTGACAGTGATGGCAAACACGGCTGGAGTTGCACCTGACGGGTTGGTCGTGGCAGTCACCCTTGAGTTAGTTGTCTTTATTACTGAGTGGAGGATGCCATCTGCGTGGAGATGAAGGTCTCGATGACGTTGTGAGTGGATGGCAGCAGCTGACTGTGGCTGTTGGCGGAGTCGGAGCTTTGGTACAGCACCAGGCTGCTGGAGGACACTGTCAAAGGCACAGGCAGAAGTTAACTACACATTCTCACTGCAGTCCCCATATGTGTGTGCACACTCACGTTTCCAGCATGACTGAACTCTCCTGGCATAGGGGCATAACTCCTTTTTCTATTTTGTGTGCCAGTATATACCTAGCTTAAGTCCACAGCTAGTCTGAAAACGTGGAGGGGGACAACCTCTAGAGAGTTCAGTTCTGAGGATTCTAGTTGATTGTTAATGTTCTAGTTCTTCTCTTAGAATTGGGAAGATCCAACTGGAGTCTTTTCATGAGGGAGTCTTGGGTTTTTCAGCCCTGAAAACTGTCCACAGAACTGAATACTCATGGACACTGATTTTGTCAATATTTTTATTTTCCTCTCTAGATTCTGAAGAAGGGTCCCATTTCCACAGTCTGGCCTTATGTAGACTGTGCTCTGAATCTTTTCCTTGTACCAGCTTTTCAAACCTCACAGGACACTGGTAGAGCCCTCTGAGAGAATCATGAGCCCCAGTTACCATTTTCTAACTGGATTTTACAGTGTTGGCAAGAGAAACTAGGCAATACATGGTTTAAGATAATAGTGGCTGCTGCTCTTACCAGCAGGGCTTGAGGTGAGGCGAGGGCCTGGCTGAAGGTGCTGGATGGTTGTGTCTTGGTTCTGTAAATGTATCGTTGGTGCCTGTGACACTGGCGTATGCATTCCAGACTCTGTGTGAGTCTCGGAGTCAGAGGTGAATGCCTAGAGAAAAGAAAGTTAATGGTGCCTGGTTTCTACATCCCTTCTAACAGGCATGAGAGGAGAGTGAGCAGGTGCTGTTTCCAAGGAGATTAAATACTCCTTGATGATGCAGTGAAGAGCTTGCTCTAATGTTGCCAGTATTGCAGCTGGTACCAGCAAGGCGAGGAGGTAAGAAAGATCATCCTGCTACAATGGCATAGACCACACACCCAAAAACTCTTTGACAAGCAAGGAGCTACCTGCAGACCTGTGCAGTTCTAAGGTGGGGGAACAAAGGCATGTGCTAAAGGCTGTTACCTGTTTAGTTGGTGTCAGGTTAGTCAGGGCGCTGAGATTGGCTGTATCTGTTATCACCATGGTTTGTGGTAAGAGGCCTGTATGTGTGTATTGGGCCACTTCAGACTTGGGGCCGTAGAGAGCTGTGCATGAAAGAAAACAAGATCACGTGGATGCTGGAGCTTTGCATGAGACTAATTTAGTTGAATTGTTCTCATGCATATGGATCTGTTGTCTGTCTCCAAAACAGTGGGAGTGGAGGGACAGGGAGATAAATGCAATAGAAAAATAATTTCATAATTAGAGCAACAATAATAGAAGAGGAAAGTAGAGTGCTGCAAGCCCAAGGACCCAGCAAATGCTCCAGAACAGTCTTTTTGTTTGTTTGTTTGCTTGAGCAAATGAGTTCATGTTCTTACCGTGAGGGTTCTGTATCTGGGCCATGGTAGCCATGAAGGGGCTCTGGTTGATGTGACTCTGGACTTGCTGCATGAGGGGCTGCTGGTAGGATGGGTGCAGTTGCTGGGAGAACTGGACGGGCTGCAGGGTAGTGAGGCTGCTCCCCATGCTGTTTATTACAGGTACGCTCTGGGGCTGAGTTGAGGCCAGGCCTGAAAAACAAGGACTGATGACAGTAGTGTCGCACACTATGGGAGAAGTGTGGCTGCTCTGCAATAGGGGCATCTGAAATAGTCATCATGGCAGGCCTGTTGTCGCAGGGTGATTTTTGGATCCTGTTTTTCAGGTGTTCTGTTTGTTATCTGTGATTAAGAGTAGATTTTGTGCCAGTGAAAGCAAAGTGGGAGCATGCAAAATGTACCATGCAGACAGGTACCATAAAACCACCTCTGATTTCCAGTGTTTGTTCCTGTGTACATCTTTGTGTACTGGTATAGATCACTTTCCAGTTTAGTGATAACCTGATACAGAGTTCCACTGGAGAGGCCTTGCTCAGAAGTAAACTCAGAGTGTCATCTCAGTGTCCAGTTCTTTTTTTTTTTTTTTTTTATAAAGCTGTTGGCCACACAGAGAACTATGCTGTAGCTGTCCAGCCACATGGAATGGAGTTTCAGCTCATTTTGCTTGAGCTGCCAGATTGTGGAATTTGGACCACTGAAAAAGAGGTAGAAGGTTTCCCACGTTACTGCCCACTTCCCACAACTGTCCAGACCCTATTCCTGTAAATCAGCAAGTCTCTCCAGCACTGAGAGACTTCCACTGTGTGGTAATTTCCGTTTTTTGTTTTTTTTTTTTCCTCCACAGAATTAGAATCCATATCATAATCTTGGGTATAA